TGTTCGTCGATGAAAAAAGAAATCAAATTTCTACTTTAGCCATTAATTACATATGAATTTAAATCGGCAGAAACAACAAACACATTATTGCAAATACAGTAAATTAATAATTATCTCCTCTCCAAGCATGCATATTCCCCAATAATGAATCATTAATCACGAATTTATAATTGATAAACAACATTAATATTAAACAATAAATCATTAATAATTCATAATCGTGATAAACGTACTATAAATTACAAAATTGTATATATAATGAAACAATATAAATAACAACAACAATAATAATAAGAGATACATTTTTCTAATCTTCCAAACTAATTCTCCCTTTCTGAGAATCGTTTTATTGCTCGACCAGCCATTAAAAGATGGTGCGTTGACGCTTCAGCCACGAGTTTCACGGGAATTTCACTAGACTAGAGTCTTCATCGTTGCTCTAATGCTTAACTAGCATTGAAAGTAGAGAGTATACAGTATGAGCCAGCGGTGATAATGGACTCTAAGCCAGTTACTTTGCCCTTTAACACCATTAAGTAGCCATCGTTGCCGTAATTACGGAAGTACATTCGCTGTTTCTATCCACGTGGACCCCGGATTTTCGTGCGTTTGCGGGAAAATTTTATATGCTGCGAGGATACTGGATGCGATATTTTAGTTACCTTTAGTTTGTAATAAAAATAGAGAGATTCTTATTTCGGTCTTAATTTACGTTACTGATTTCCACTGATTTTTAATACTCATCATTGTGACAGGGAGTCTCGTGATTTTTTTCTTTTTCTTTTATCTTTCTCTTACTCTCTTTATTTCTTTATTATTTATTATCGATATTGTTGGTATTGTGGTAGAAAGGGAATATTTCTTTCACCGTTTACGACTTTGTGCTGTGAAAATGTACCACTTCGTTGTATGCTGAAGCTTATTATTAAAGTAAATTCCTAATTTCTGCTCGGTCTTTTTCTATGCATATCTTGTGAAAATTCTTCTTCAGTAAAGATAACATTATATACTATGAAACTGTGTATAGTTATATACACGTAGTATAACACGGTATAATTACATTCTTTTGAAAATAACGAAAATGATACTACAACAGTATGATTACACGCTACAGATATAATACCAATATTATATAAATATAAATACAATGAATAATACTATTTTAGTAAAATTTTATACACAATGTATGTATAACACAATATCATTATTTTACATTTTGATATTATTATTAATTATTTTATACAATCATTATTATCGTATAACACGACCAGAAATTACTATTTCAAGTGAATTAGATATATTCAATTCAATCTAAAAAAGTATTGCAAACTAAAATAAAATGAAATTCTACGCAGAGGGACGTTAAGCAAGATTAAAAAATGGCAATTTCAGGCCCGATTGATATTTTTTTCTATCTCGTGGCAAATTAAAATATATATAAAGACACGGACTATATATACATATATACATATTCCCGGCGAGATACGGGTAATACGATGTCGAGCGGAGATAAGCTCGCCGTTTTAAATAAGCGAGCTAATCGCGCTTCGCCGCGGGAATCCGACCGGAAGAACGCAAGGAAATTGTAGCGGGGTTTGCGAGTTGTTCGTTTAATTGCAAGAGAATTGCACTGTTAAACGCGGTGAGTAATTAATTCTCGACTCGATACTGAAGTCGAGTAAATCCAGCTGGATGATTTGAATTTGAGGAAAGGGAGAAGCTCTTCTTATTCTATTCTATAAGAAAAATTCTTTGAAAAAGAAAAAAAAAAAGAAAAGAGAGATATATATCGTGTATTTTGTTCTTGCTTCATTTTCTTTTAATGGTGAGTAGTATAACTTAAGTATAACTCTATTAATGGTAAGTAGTAAGTATGCTGTAGTATAGTATAATATAGTGTAGTGCAGTGTAGTATATGCTGCAGACAAATCTCAAATGAAATTATAGCTTAATTTTAGTAGTTTCAGCAATTCGACTAATTTCATTTCATAAAATTAATATTATTTCACTTGCTGTCTTTAATCGATTTCTCGACAGTTTCGAGCATTGGTTGCTGTTTGCATAACTTGGCTCGAATGAAAGCCAATTGTAAGTCGTTTTTTTAAAACTGAAAATCGTCATTTGCGTCGATCGACGAAACGACCACATCGTTCAAACTATGTACAAAACATACAGAATTTCGATCATCCGATATTACTGAAATTACTTTGTCGAAAATGATGAACGAATTATTAGATTCGACGAGATTGTGCAATTGAACTTACCGACATCTCCGCCGCGGGATGATCTATGATCTCTAGTTCTGTTTCCTGGCCGTTCAGCATCACGGAAACACTTTTTTGTCCGTATTCCTCGTCTGCAACAAGTTTAGAATGAATATAATTATTGTATAATTTATTAGACATAAATACAGGTATTAATAATATTGATGATAATAATAAATATTAATTAATATTACATTGTGTAGTTTATAAAATTATAACACACAAATTTCCCATACATAATTTAATACATAAATATATTATAATATAATTGTAATACAATATATAACATTATTATATATATAATATATTTACATTTATACGTAATTATAGAATTCTTAATAAATATATTAATTATATTTGTAAGTTAAATGATATATTCTCTAAGCGAAATTAGTAGAAAATAATTTACAATCCTATTGTTATTTCATAATTGTGCAAGTTCGACATTGAAGTGATAAATCATGTAGATTAATCTACCACAAGATTCTTCAATATTATTTTTTAATCATACGTTTAATCATCATTTTTTGATTGTTCAATTGTTATTTTTTAATCATCTAGTAGACTAGTATATCGTATTAATTGGTTAGTAAAGTTATCGTATATATAATAATAATAATAACTGACATTCGCGTTTGCTTTCAAATTAAAAACATTTCGAGCCAGTTCGTTTGTACTTTAAACTGTAAATTTATCGAACGGGTTAAGCTACGACCACAGACGAACGAACGGGTCCGCGTGTTCGCAAAAAAAAAAAAAAAAAGTTTAATGGCTTCCGGTCGAAAGTTAATTAAAATCGCGTAATAAACTGTGCACACGCGAGATTACTATGTCTGTTGAAACTGTTTGAAAAGTGAATTCAATCGAACGTTTTCCTCGAATATATCCGACGTGTTCTCGATTAATATTTTAATGATATATAGTGTGATATTTGATTTCGCGTGGCTGCTCCACCTGTCTACGTGAAAAAAAGAAGGCAGGATTATTTGCACGTTGTAATTCAATTTGCTGTTTTGCACGTAACATGGGATCAATATTGATCGGTAAAAATCCTCTTGAAAATAATTAATCGACGTGTTGAACACGTTTAAATACAAAATACAAAATCGTTAGCAGAATTAATTATTATGTTGTTAGTAATAGTATTAATAGAATTTATATAATAATAATGTAATAGAATGTATACCACATTATATTTAATATTAACTAATCATTAGAATTCGCATTATTTTTGTACGTTATTGTTACTTGCTTATTTTTTCCAGCAGAAGAAGTACTTAATGAATACTAATAGTTAACATATAATGATAGTTAACATAATGTAGAATGCAGAATTTCAAATTACTTATTAAGTAATGTTTCGAAATATCTAGAAATTCAATCACGTGTTGTTAACTCTCTTTTACTTCAACAAAGTTTGTACATTTGCAATTTATATGTTTTCAGAGTTTCGACTGATTCTTGTTTTTTAAATATGTCCAAACTGCTAAAAGTTTGTGTTATTTATATTATTACTGTCATCATTAGTATTACTCTACTTATTAGCACTTTAACTTCTACGACACAAGTTTTAATCGTCGATGATTCCATCGTTGTACCATTTTCCCAATTATTTCGTATAAAAAAAATCGAGAAAAAGAGATTTTCCAAATGGTCCCCTTGGTTTCGACGAATTCGCATTGCTGCAAATTGGGTCAGA